CACACACACACACACACACACACAAACACACATACATACACCTGCCCTATTTTCCTCAAATTACCTAGATGCAAATAAGTGATTTGAAATCAGTAGCAATGGGAACAAAGGTCAACAACAATGGTGAGTGACCAACAGGCAGCAATGTCATATATGTCTTCCAGAAGACTGAGATGATAAACAGAAGAGAAGTGGTTAAACACAGGAATTTTTGTTTAATCCAGGGAGAACTGTATCTGGGGGTATGACCAGGAATAAAGACTAAAACTTTGAATATCGCCATTGCATCTCGACCAATGTTTATCAATCTTGTTAAAGGCAGCACCCATTTTTGCCACCTTTAAGAGACTAAACTTTCCATATCACCCACCTACATTATTTTATTTCCAAGTGAGGCATTAAAAAATACCTGCTTCTACCCACGTAATCCCAACTGCCCACCAAAATTACCAAATAGTCCACTAGAGGGCGATACTGCCCAAATTGGAAAGGGCTCATCTAGACTCTCTAAACTCTCTTTGACTCTGATTTTATTCATCGTATAAGTATAAGCTGAATAACACAACAGTAGCAAGACTAAGATACCGGTACTTGATAAAACAGACTCCCCCATGCAAGAACTGAACTTGCATCTTGAGAGAAAATGAAGGGAGCCTTACCATTACACCAGATGTTGCGGACAAATCTTGAAAAACTACTAATCAACTACAGAGTCACCAAAATAAATAGAAAAAAAAATGCAAATGTAGCAAGATTGTGCAAAAGCAGAGTACATAAACATGATAACAGTCATTTTGATGTTGGGGGAAAAAAAAGCAAAACAGACAGCCGGAAAGAACAGACAGGGAAGAAGTATGACCTACCAATAAAGCCCTTCAAAGTTTTAGTAAGAGTTTTAAAGCACTTGAAACACAACAAGACATAGATTAAACAAGTGGTAAGGACTGGAGGTATTACAAGAGAGTAACATCTCTGTTTTAGTAGAGGTTTTACGGGGCTCGCAACTGCATAAGGTCATATGAGCTCCAAGGGGTGGATGTCAACAGAGAAGTCCTTACAGGGAATCAGACACAAAAAAAGAAGAGAAGGACAAATAGATATTTGATAGAAAAGAAGGAGCAAACCACATCAGAGCGCCCGCCAACCAGCCACAATGCCCTCTACTAACGACCTGCAGGACAAAGAGACATTGACCACAGAAATACAAACTTGAGTACTCAAGGTAACAAGAAAGCAGTCAAACAAACAAAAAGCAAGTGATGTACTCAAGAGCGGGATCTTAGGGATGACTTTTGTATAGTAAAATTTCTGGGGGTTTTTACAACAGCCGGATCTTAACGGGAGGAGCTACCCTTGAGGACCATTTTCTATGTTTGTTGTCCGATATCAAATCTAAGTACACATATAAGTTAGACAAAGTAAAATCTCTTGATACGCAATTTTATTTTGGCATAGCTACAACGGTTGCTATGGAAACGGACGACGTCTTGAAAATAAACAATGAATTTGAAATCCCTACGGCTTTCTTATTTCCAGACCAAATTTGACCAAATTTGGTGAGAGTATACCTGAACCAAACCCTATCAGAGTAACAGCAAGTTTTTTTCAATACGTGCAAAAGAAAAAAAAATTATGAGAATTTTCCCAAAGTATAAAAAAACTTTGTCTAAATTTAGGTTGCGTAATCGCTTGCCAAAGGAAAAGTGTTACTTTTTTCGCGAATATCTTTCTGTTACATTGATGGCAGCCTTGCCAACTATGTTTCCTGAAAGTTTCATGTCAAAAGGATAAAAACTAAGGAAGGAGTAGGGAAAACACTGCACAAAAATTACATTTTGTGAAAACCGACAATAATTGTGAAAATTCACTATATTAATCCATCCTCATGTTTTTAAAGGCAAATTACCTGTAGAATAAAGTCTTTCTCAATTGAATCCATGCTATTTTTAGACAAAAAACTGGTGAATCTTCAAAAATCACCCAACATAAAATGTGCATAGCCTGACCCAAAATCTGCAAAATCAAGGGTCGCTCCTCCCCTTAAGTGAACTCGGATCATTTAAGGGGTGGGATCTTAGGCGGAGACTACTGTACAGTATATATACGCTGGATCACTAATTGCACCATGACACCATCAGTTCTTAAATGGTTATTTTCAGAACAACCTCAATGATCACATTATTATTAGCAGACAGCTTTGTTAAGACTTGCATTACAGTAATGACTACCGGTTAGCAAAAGTCTGACAATAAAGATATAAAGACTTTTTTAAAAAAAACAAAAAACATAAAGGCACTTAAACATCCATGGTTATTAAAGCAAACACCACTGTTTTAAATATTCACTTCAAGACAATTGTATTGAAGGATATTCTGCTCAAACATTACAAGTTTCTCAACCTTACTGCTTCCATTCTGAAATTATAGTTAAATCACAATCTTCAAAAAGGAGCAAAAATAAACTCACACATAGATTCAGTTACAACACACCATTGCCTATCACTTTAAACCAGAAAGGCTTTCAAGTTATGCTGTCAAGTTTAAATTCACTACGAACTCATACAATAATAGCCACATTTCACCAGGATCATGTTAGTCTGAAAATAACAACAACAACAACAAAAAGGAGTAGACCCCACATGAGAGTCCAAAACTCCAAAGACCTTCCACCTTTCCTCTTTCTCTCACAACTCAGGACTCACAATTACCTTCAAAATGGGCTCAACCTGAAATATTGCACAATACAAAAGCTTCACATTACATAGTAATGTTACCTGTCTTCTCTTCTCAATCAGTACAACAGCCAACGTTATCAAAATTCAGATAAAGACAGAGGGACACTTGGTAGAAAAAATGTACTGAATGGCATGTTAGGTCAAACAGCAACTTTCTATTTACTGTCCCGCGCTAGGGGCGACCATCCCCGATTAGGCATCCGGCCGGTCCCAGGTGGCAGATGGGGAATGGCCATTGAAATAGAGGTTATCTGTGAATATGTTCAATTAGCAACCCTGGACTAACTGGCAATGCTCTTAACAGGACGTGGCGAGGTGGTAGGTGATAGGTGGCACTACCATGTCTGGTAGATGGCACCACCACATCATGAAATGCCATATATGAGTCAACTGAAGGGAGCACCAAGGGGAAAATGACCACATTAAGTTCTAGTCACAGGTGGGACCCGGTAACAATTCCTCCCTGTGCTCCCAGGGTAGGCCTCAGGACCTAGAGCTGGAGGGCTGAAATCGAAGGAATTGGCCCTAAAGGCAATCGCCAGAGAACCACAATACCATGTAAAACTGTAAAAATGACATTTGAAGACAGTATCTATAGATGGCGCTCGCCCTGTGAGGGCCTACCAGGCAGGTACAGTGCCGGGCTCCAAGCAACTGAGAGGCCTTGCAGGTCACACAGGGCCCTGAGACAGGAAATGTGGCCAACCCCATTGACACCTGTACATGCCAACCGAAGAGCTGAGCAGGACAGCCCAGTTTATATGTATGATAGACTTTACGTGTGACGAGATCAAGAAGAAGAAAGAAAAGATTTCCTGTCAAGTTTACAATTTGAATAAACTGCTAATTATGTGTGGGGAAAAAAAGGAAATTCTACACATTTTAAGTCAATGTTGAGAGTCAGAATACATTGTCCATCAAGGAAACAAATGTCAGACTTATCCTAACTGATTTTCACTGTTTTCATGAGAAGATAAAATGGAAAAAAATGAATTGTAATGGTCTGACCATAACCTCTGGAGTCTGGTAACTCATTTGGTTTATTTCTGTTTTTTTGTAATAAGTCACATGAGAGTGATGGACACAATAAGTATTTTCAGTTTCGGCAGTAAGTAATTTTGAAGTTTGCCCAGGTGGTGGCCAAAGTCTACTCTAGTAGATTTTTGGACCGCCAAAGGATCTTTAGCGTGTGCAACGTGCAAACGATATTTCCTAAATTTTTTTCCCCCTTATCTGAAAAGGCTAGGTGTTTGATCTTACCTACCTTAGCATCAGAGGTGTGGCTGAAAGACAGCAGTAAAAAGGAACCAGGAGTAGCAGTAAAGAGAGTGAAAGAGTCGGGAGTCCAGAGAAGGGTAAAAAGGGGGAGGTGGGTAGAAGGTGGAAATGAAAGCAGATGAAAGAAGATGACTAGAGAGAAGGAAAGGAGGTAACAGAAAAAAATGAAGAACATTTTCTGTCACTACCATGTTTTGAACTTGGGACCAATTGAACGAGAGGCAACCACTGTACTCGTAGACCACTAAAGTCCCCCCCTCCCTCCCCCCCTGGTTATCCCAGTAACTCTTGATGAACAGCACATGAGTTTATACTTTAAACAGATTATTTTATAAGCAAAATGCATGAAAATATAGTGAAGTACTGAAAGAATGCCCTAGAGAAACAGACAAAATCTTAAAACTACTTTAAATATAACAAAAAAAGTGAATTTATAATAAGTTCTTTTTGCCTTCACAAGACTACAATTTTCAAGTAGTCTGGACCAGATTTAAGCATTTAAAAAGTCAAAAACAGAGTGTAATCTTTCAACTTTCTTGGCAGAGGGAGATTGTCTAAATGTCCTAGCTTATTGCAGCGGGCAACTTGAAGTCGAATGCTTTTTCTGGACAGTTCCATTAAACTAAATGGAGCATGTCTAAAGGAGTTGCACAGAGGAGAAATTTTCTGTCTCAAGGCATCAAACTCTGCCAGTTCTGATATCACACTTTGCACACGAGGAAATCTCTCTTTCAAAGTCTCAACATTCTCGCTTCCACCGACAGTAGCACCCGAAAATCCAAACAAACGAACAAGCCCAACGTACAGAAAAGACAACTTTTTTGCCTCGTGAGACAAAAGATTCTTGAATGCCTCACAATCATTGGCCACGTCAAGGGCACAGCATATGGCGTTAAAGCTTGGGGGCTGAAGGTTGTCTCTTGGGTCTTGCACCACCCCCACATTCGGATCTGCACCAGCATTGAGCAACATTTCCACTATTGCAACAAGCTGGTGCTGGGCTTTGCTCAATGCATCCTGGTACCCTGACGCTCGACTGATGTAAGTCATGTTGTGTCGCAGAACCATCAGGGCCATCAACAATGGAGTCAATTTCCCATGGCTGTTGTTTATGTCGGCCGGCGAGAGCCGCTTTAGTAAAATCCGGACACACTCTGAACTCCCTTGCATACAGACCATCTGTAAGGGCGACGCCTCTCTGCCATCATCAGAGAAAGACAACTGCCAGTGTGAGCAATGTCTCAGCAGTACCTTGAGGATGGCAGGATCAGCCAATTCGCATGCCAGCATGAGGGCCGACTTATGATCAAAACTTTTCACGTTCACATCACAGTTCCGAGCAAGCATCAGTTTGAGGGTGACAAAAGCACGGCCATTGTCAACCAGGTGTCGTTGAGTCTTGAGGGTGGTGAGCACAGTATGTATGAGCCGGCCATGGCTTGTGGGTAGGTTGGGGCTGCAACCATTGATGAGGAACAGATTAAGGATGTCCAAATGGCCCAGCTCGCATGACCTCTCTACCGCACTGAAATACAGAAAGGAAAGTAGAAAAAGACAATCATGGACAGCTTTTTTGCGGTTGCTATTTTTTTCAACAGCATACAGAAATGACAGTTGAACAAGACATTCAAGAGCAACTTTTTCTTGTCTGCTTCTTTTTGTCAACAGGAACAACAATCATCAACAAAGACCAGAGGCTTCCTATTGTATTATTGTATAGTCTTAGAAATCTTAAGTCAACCGTCATAAATCTTCTTTATAATTACCATGTAAAACACTTGTATGCTCAGTTACGAAACATGATCAAGGAAAATCAACAATTATTCAGCTATGCTTTCAACATTGTAAGTAAACTCAAAACATTCAATTCTGACTTTTCTTCTTTAACGTTTTCCTTTTTCCTCTCAAAAGTACATTGAATCATTTTGACAATGAATTCATTTTGTAGATGAATGGCAACATGGCATTCTGTTATAGTTGCTCATATTAGAAAGATAAGATTAACCTGGAATGAATAAAAAAATTGGCACAAAAAGTAGAGCGACATTTGACTATAGTGCAGTAGCCTAGTAACTGTGAGTCAGAAATATGGTAAAATAAGACTAAATTTGATAGAAGCTCAGACATAAAACGGGTGTTCACACATATTCCAGACAGCATTGGTTCATTTATATAAAATTGACGAAATCAGAACAAACGTCCATACAGAATTAGAACCAATGAAGACATGCCTGATTTCCAGCTGTGAAATGTAGCGTGATATTTACCTTGAATTAAATTCTTTTCATTACTTGTAAATTCCAACACTTTTCCTGAACCTCATTTTTCTCATATTGCAGACAGGTAGTGAACATTTGTGATATCAATATTATGCAATCACTTTCTACTTTTAGTCAACACATTACATCATATGGATGAGGATGAATCTGAATCTTTAGAAACTTACAGCCAGCTATCCTTGACCTCTCTAGGGGATATAAAATACACAAATTACAGAAGAAATATTCAAATCAATGTGACTAAAAAAATTAAAAGACAAAAGTTACCGAAGAATTACATCCAATCAATGTGACTAAAAAAAACAACTATACTGTAAACTACTGACTACTGGGAAAGGATAGAAACCAAATTTTCTCACCTTTTATTCTTTGTTAAGAACTCTCGAGTGCTGTACTTGGAATTGCGTGGGCATAAAGAGACAGAGAACATGGGCTCATTCTTTGCCCCTTCATGGCCGAGAGCTGACAAAAGACCAGCTACATCATGGCTCTCCACTAAGGACATCAGAGAATTTTGATCACCAAATTGCCTGCAGTAGAGACAAAAACAAGGAAAGTTATTACTTAAGTTTCACAGAACATTTCACGATGTTGCAAAAATTCAGGGAAACACTTGGTCAACTCCAAAGTCATGACTTCTTTAGTCAAGGAACACGTGTGTTGACCAAAAGAGTAGACCATAACAATTGTCTGACAAAACTGATTTCTTTCAAAGAGTGAAAAAGGGAGAGTGCGCACCAGACAATATTAGAATCAAATATGTATAAATTATGTAATAAAAAACAAAACTTTTGTTTCGATTATGTAGTCAAAATGCCTTTCTTCCATTTACCAATTTTTTCGAAAAGCATGCCGCATCTTTTTCTTTTTTAAGTCATCATTCACAATTGATTTTTTTAAAATAAGAAATATCATAGCCCTTAGTATTCTAAAGTTGAAAATAGCACGGTATCTAATTATAGTGGAATCTGCTTAAACCAAAATCTGCGGGACAACTAAATGTTCTTCCATTTAGGCGGGGGGGGGGGGGGGGGGGGGTTGTTTAGAAATGCTCAAATATATTTTTTAAAATTGGGGATTTTATACTCTTTCTGTTTACTACTGTTTTCAAACTTTAAATGTGTGTTTTAAGTGGAACTACTGTATCTTTATAATTCAGTATCCGAACATCATTGTCAGATTTAGAAAGAATGAGGGCAAATATGCACTTTTCTATCTTTTTGAATAAAAAATCCTTAAAATATACCAATAAAACAAATCGTAAATATAAAATAAACAAATAATACTGTAATATCCTTCTAAATTGTTGCAAGTAATATGGCTTTAAAGCATCCGACTAACCAAGAAAACCCTCAGGTTAAAAACAACGAAAGAGGAAAAATAAAAATGCCTTTTAAAAAGTTGACATTCTTCATCAATAGGCTGATTGACTTGATCACAATAATTTGTTTGCCCATCTCACACACACTTACACAGGCACACGCACACGCACACACACACACACACACACACACACACACACACACACACACTGACAAACTCTCCCTCTCTCTCAAATGCACAATCGATGTTTAAAAGAATTTGATATGTGTATCGTATATCATTCAAAATGTCATACATTCTCTATCATAAAAAAAGGAAACATGAAATGAGAGAGTGAAAAAGGTACGGTTGAAAGGGCTCATGCTGTTTTATTTTTTTGTCCTCTAGTCGGCTACTCTGTAACCAAAAAGTTCCACAAAAATCATTTCCACTCGAGTTTAAAATAACGATAAAAACAACTAAAAGACAAAAAAAGGAAAGCCTAAAAAAATGTCGAAACTCTTCATAAATACAGGCGGCTGACTGACTGGATCATAATAATTTGTCTCACTCACACACACTTGTGTATTTCTGTGCTATATTTTGAAGTTGTTTTAATACTTGAAAGGCTTCATGGAAATCATATAGCTCACTGGAGTAGGTGAGAGTCTAAGTAGTCGAACCTGCCTTAACGAAAACCTGTATAAAACGGAAACCTGTCTTAACGGAATCTCCCCGCTCCCCCTTTGATTTATTCCTCTTTAATTACCTGCATAAACGGAAAGAAAAATTCGCTCCCTTCCGAGGGTTTCACCTGCCTAAGACGGAAAATGCGTTGCCCGCTCAGCCCTGATTTGAAACAAAACTCACAAGTTTGGTTCCGCCAGCTCTAAACTTAACGCTATGGCCATGCTGCTGGGCGAGGAAGAGGAGTAGGGGTGCAATTTGGGGGCAGATGTTACCCCATCATCTGAGCCCAGAGCGATGCAGATAGTCAGTGTAGTGTGGGTGTGAAAATGTCCCGACTGCCCGTCAGAACGCTCGAGTAGCCACTACGGAAAGTTTCCTGGGTCCAGAAGCTAGAGGTGTGAAATTACATGGACCAATGCCTGCCGCCCTGGTCGTACGGCCAGCCGAGAAAAGAGTTCCTCGAATTGTTGTTACAATGACGGCAGTAAGGGGTGGCATTGGTGGGAGGGGCTAAGGGTGGAACCAAAGGAGACGTTCAAACATTTCTGTTTTTAATAGGTCAAACAGTGGTCCTCTGGAAAGGCAAGTCCTGGTGGTAATTGGATAAGTAAGACTGACACATGTCATTATCAGACAGGATAGCAAATGAAAGGTGTGAAGTTTTGACCACTGCTAGCCCATCGGACAAGCCATCCTTGATCTGACCGGCTGGGTCTTTGAACCCCCCCCTTCCATCTCCCCCTAAATTCCCTGTCTAAGATGGAAAATGTCTAAGACGGAATTTTTTTCTGGCTCCTTTGCGATCCCGTCTTACACAGGTTCGACTGTACTGCACCAGAGTGAGAGTGGTCTAAAAGTAAAAGTCTGCCTTTACTTCTTACTAATGGGCTGTCAATTTATTCATGCTGGGATCAATGACAATATTATAAAATAAAAAACCAAGTTTGGGATAAAGTTAAGAGGGGGAAACTAGAACTTGTTCATGTTCGTCTATTCGTATTTTTGAAAAAAAAAAACTAGTTCATTTTTTAATTTACTAATGCGCGTGTAACATTGCATGGCACTCCTGTAGCTGTAGGCTAGCAACCAAACAAAACTTTTTTTTTAAAATCCTGATCTAGTAATTTAAAAATAAGTCCCACTCAATCACAATGGTCTATCGCATTGTGTCAGTCCCTCCTCATTAGCCACAGTAACAACAGTAACATGATGCCTGAACTAACAAAAACCAGAAAAATTACTGTGATTTGTAAAATAAAATTTTAGTTTTTGTTGTAATACCTAAAGCATTTGTACAAGAATGTACACAAGAATGATCAAATTAGTACCAGGTAAAAACAAGACGACACACCGATTTAAAACAGAATGTCAGTGTTAGGAAAAAAGTAGAGAACCCGATAACTGCCCACTGTACTACTAATCACAGCCTGTAGACTCCTGGGACGGCTGTCCTAAAGGAAAAGGACGGCTAGTCACTTTGTTCTTTATAATGGGGGGTTTTCGGTAGGCTATCATTTCATTAGTTTTCGGGGTTTTCGGTAAAACGTATACCAGAGAATGCTATTTAGCAGTAGCAATCTCTGCAAAGTCTTTAGAATACATCTAGACAGTTATTTTTTAAACATGAAGCCTGTACAGCAAGCACCTAAGCATGTAATACCTCTGAAATTGGCTCAAATATATAATGCATTTCCGCCATCTATTTTTGTCGCCTTCCGGGGCTTCCCTCACCAGTTGACTGGTCTCACCGTGGTGGGCCCGCTTTGCCGCTTAGCGCGCAATGGGCTATGTCACTAGGTTTAATTGCCGACTGCTTGAGCTGTGCGTGTGCATGTGTGTGCACACACGCTTGTGTGTGTGTGTGCGTGCGAGTGTGTGCGCGTGCGAGTGTGTGTGCGTTTGTACAACTTTGAGAAGAAGGTAAATTTATGGAACGAGAATTGCTAAGATTGTTGTTTATAGATAAAACAAATCAATAACAACAAACAAACACGGTGAGATCTAGTCAACAGTTACTGGCGAGGGAAACCCAAGTCTTGAGAGAAACCCCAGAAGATGACAAAAATAGATGGCGGAAATCATCATCATCATCAATGCCTTTCACCCCTGGCAGGGTATAGGCCACATACAAACTCTTTCCATTTATCTCTGTCCTGAGCCATCCTTCCAAGCTCGTTCCAAATGAGCTTCATTTCTCTCATGTCCCTTTCCATGCATCTCCTCCATGTTTCCCGTGGCCTACCCCTGCCTCGTGCTCCCTGTGGGTTCCACTGCAGTGACTGTCTTGTGATGTTTCCGCTGGGCTTTCTTAAGGTGTGTCCCATCCATCGCCACTTTGTTAGTCCTATTCCTACTTCTATATCCTTTTGTCCTGTCCTTTCCCACAGCTCTTCATTTCTTATTCTATCCTGCCACTTAATTCTTAAAATACTCCTCATACATCTGTTGATGAAAGTCTGGACCCTATTCAGTACTGTCTTCGTTGTCTTCCAAGTTTCGCAGCCGTAGAGGAGCACAGACTTGACGTTGGAGTTAAAAAGTCGAATCTTGGTGCGCAGTGAGATGTTGCTTGCTTTCCAGACTTTTGATAATTGCTTGAAGGCTGACCTTGCCTTGGCGGTTCTTGCTTTAACATCTGCCTCGGTTCCACCTTTACCATCGATGACACTTCCAAGGTAGGTAAAGGAGTCCACTTCTTCAAGGGGAGTGTCTTCCACTGTCACAGCAAGGTTTGAAACTTTTCCTAGCTTCACTACTTTTGACTTGCCTGGATGTATACGTAGGCCAACACTCCTTGATAGGCTGTTGAGTTCCTTGGTCTTTTCTTGCATCTGAGCATATATGTGTGAGAGAGCAGTGCAAGGTCATCGGCGAAGTCCAAGTCGTCCAGCTGCTGCCAATGGATCCATTGTATTCCATTACGTTTGCCTCTAGTGGCTTCTTTCATGACCCAGTCAATTGCCAGTATGAAGAGAAAAGGTGAGAGCAAGCATCCTTGTCGCACTCCTGTCTGTACCCGGAATGGTTCTGAGAGTTGTCCTTCGTGGAAGACTTGGCAGCTTGTTCCATCACAGGTGGCCTTCACAAGCTTGACGATTTTCTCAGGTATTCGAAAATGCCGCATGAGTTTCCACAGAGTTTCCCTGTCCACGCTGTCAAACGCCTTTTCATAGTCAATGAAGTTGACCACGAGTGGTGGAATTCCATTCAAGCGATTGCTCAACAATGGTACGTAAAGTAGCGATCTGGTCCACACATGATCGGTTTTTGCGGAATCCTGCCTGGTTTCCTCGAAGCTTCTCATCCGTTGCCAGCTTGATTCTCTCCAGGAGTATCCTGTTGAAGACTTTCCCAGGTATGGAAAGGAGTGTAATGCCTCTGTAGTTGTTACAGTTGCTGAGGTCTCCTTTCTTTGGCAGCTTGATGAGGTGGCCTTCCTTCCAGTCTGATGGTATTTCCTCCTTTTGCCAAACTTTTTCAAATAGAGCATAGAGAATTTCCACAAACGTATCTTTCTCTGCCTTAAGGGCTTCCGGTGGTATATGGTCGGGACCAGCTGCCTTGTGGGACTTTTTATAGCAGCTGCAATTTCCTCTCTTGAAGGTGGTTCCGTGTCTATTGGGAGGTCATTTCTGGCTGGAAGAATTTCTGGTTGGTTTTCTGGAGGTGGTCTGTTCAGTAGTTGATCAAAGTGTTCTCTCCATCGGTTAAGTTGCCCCTCTGGGTTGAAGATAGTCTTTCCTTCTTTGTCTTTCACTGGTAGAGTGGGCTTGCTGAACCTACCTGAAAGAGTTCTTGTAGTCTGGTGTACAATCCTCAAGTGCCTGTCTGTTGCTGCTTTCTCTGCCTTTTCGGCCAGGCCATTCAGGTAGGTATTCTTGTCCTTCTTGATGGAATTCTTTACCTCCCGGTTTACTTCAGTGTACTCTTGTTGTGCAGCGAGTTTCTCAGTTCGGGTATGGCTGTTGTTGACTTGGGCCTTCAGCTCTCTTCTTCTTTTGACTTTGTCTAGAGAGTCCTGTGAAATCCATTCATTCCTGGTGTTGTCTTTGGGTCCTAGGGTGCTCTGGCAAGTTGAATTTACTGCCTCCCTTAACTTATCCCAGTGTTCGTTGACTTCACATTCATCCAGATCTTGAAGGGCTTGAAATCTGTTCTTCAGTTCCAACTTGAACTCATTCTTCTTTACTGGGTCTTTCAGAAGGCTCACTTCATACTTTAGACGATTTCCAGCGGCGACTTGTGCATATCTTCTCAGTTTTAGTTTCAGCTTTCCAAGGAACAAATGATGGTCTGATGCGACGTCTGCTCCTTGTAAGACTCGGATGTCCTCCAGTGAACGTCTAAACTTTCGGGAGATGCAAAAGTGGTCGATCTGGTTTTCCGTTGTTCCGTCAGGGGAGACCCAAGTGGCCTTGTGAATCCTTTTGTGTAGGAAGATTGTACCTCCATCGACCAAGTTGTTGAATGTACAGAAGTTTTGGAACCTTTCTCCATTGTCGTTTGCCTCTCCTAATCCATGTCTGCTCATGATTTCCTCATTGTGACTATTGTCCGAACCTACCTTTGCATTTAGATCTCTCATGACAATGTTGATGTCCTTACCTGGAAGTTTGTCGATGGCGTTCTGCAGGCGGTTGTAGAAGTCATCTTTATTCTCCACTTCTGCATCATTGGTTGGAGCATACACTTGTATGATGTTCATGTTAATGACCTTCTTCCTACCATCTCTTACCTTGAGTTCTTTCTTAGTTCCAAATGAGGCCATGATGATCCTTGGACCATGTGCTTCCCAGCCCCTGAATGTCTTTTGAGCTGTTTTTGATATGATCATCCCTACTCCTTCCCTGTGTGGTCCATCACTGTCATTTCCTGAATAAACGAAGAGCTCCCCCTCTTTCATTCGCTTCTGTCCAGACTGGTTCAAGTGGGTCTCGCTGATTCCCAGTATGTGTAGTTGGTATCGGTGCATTTCTTGGAGAACTTGTGCAGTGTTTCCAGCCTCATAAAGGGTCCTAACGTTCCACAAGCCGATCCGAAGAGACTTGGACTTGGATGATGGTGGAGGCTTCTGCCGAGCAGCTTCCATGGCGGATATAGGTCATCTATATTTGGGCATATCACAGAGGTGTGCTAGGTGCTCGCTGTTGTAGCTTCATGATTTATTTTATAACCTAGCCTAGACTAGAGACAGAGAATCTAGATCTAGAAGAAATTTCTTTGTTGAAAGTTCTGATGGCCGAATGGACAGCGCGATCGATTGCGTTTGAAGTCATACCATCTTTTAAGAGCGTGGGATCGAATCCTGGTCCTGAAAGTTTTTGGGGTTTTTTTTTGGTCTTCTTCTCCTCTTCCCGACTGACCAACATTTTTTCCCATAATTATAACTTGTTGCTTAGTAGTTGTTTTTTTTTAATATGTACAGTGATGAAGCATTCACATTCTGATTTTGTCCCCAAGGGGAGCTTTTACCTACAAAGTAGGCCTATACTTTTCCTTACTACCAATTTAGCCCTGTTTAAAGTTCAATAGTGGCTTTCCTTGGTCTGTGAGTCAGAAGAAAAAAAAAACTCTCCGCGACCGGGATTCGATGCCACGCTTGGAAGCACTGTTCTCTGAACATTAGAGAACGTAGACAGCTTTAATACTTTCTCTAGGCCTACCGTTAGTGAACGTTGACACTACCCTCCGCTAATTAAAACACAAATTAAAATGTCGAAGCCTAGATCAGGTGACGTCATGTGTGATGTCAAGATACAGAGTGCACGTAGAGAAAAGGTATTGTATGACGACACTGCGGACGTTATTGTTATCCAAGCGTTTTTTTACTTGAAACTTGCTCTGAAATGAAAACTACTCAAATGATTATAATTTTATGAGAGACGAACAAGGCTAGCCTACTTTTGTGCAGACAATCCAATGTCAGAAACAATTTAGATCTAGATCTAGATCTAGATAAAAAATCTAGATCTAGATCTACCCAATATTGATCTGAATTTATAAGGCAACGTCATTAAAAAAGGGAGTCAAATCCTAGTAGGAGGTTTATCAAGAAACTGAGAAAGCTTCCACAATTCAGGCAGAACTAGATCTAGATAGAATCTATTAAAATCATGATGTTGAAACGATGGCTATAGAATCTAGAGTCCAGATCTAGATTCTACATCTAGAAATCTAGATCTAGTACTGGCGTTCCAAATAGCATGGGAGCTATTCAGAATGCGGCGTTTCAAATAGCACGGGAGCTATTCAGAATGCGGCGTTTCAAATAGCACGGGAGCTATTCAGACTGGAATGCGACGTTGCAAATAGCTCACTGCTAATTCTAGAATCTAATCTAATACCCCGCTCAAAATAACTTTTTTGTACAAAAGTGTGTTGTTGGTCGGCCGGCCCTCTGCGGAACTCCTTCCACCTGCTTCCTACTCAATTATCTAAAATTCGGAAGGACTTCCGTAACGAGCGACCACTATGAGACAGAAGAGCAGAATTGAATTGGGTTAGGGTTAGGATGCTGGGGAGTTAACCATACAAATTTATTTTTTAAGCCTCTAGATCTAGATCTAGAATCTAGATCTCTATACTACAATCTAGATCTAGATCTAGATCTAGATTCTAGTCCTACCTGCTGTAGTCATGACAGTGTTGCTTCACTTTCGCATTCATTTGCGTGACTGAATTTACGCACGCCTCCTATACTACTAGATCTAGATCTAGAATCTAGAATCTAGCATTGCATTATATAAAACCATGGCCTAGAAAATCTAGAGATCTATTAATGCCTAGACTAATCAATCTAGGCTAGGCCTTGGGCCTTGATACCTCACATGTGAAGATCTAGATCTAGATACTCTATCAATGTAGAGGGTGGGCGGTTTAGATTGAATTCCTCTCCGGCCTCTCCCGCACATATCTCTAGAGTAGAGTCTACAATCTAGACTCTAGAAAATCTAGACTTGTTGACAACAATAGAGTTCACATAAACAGCATACTGTACTGTCGCTGAACTAGAAAGTCTAGATCTAAATCTAGATAGATCTAGATCTAGAGATCTAGATCTAGAATCTAGTAGTAAGAGAATAGGTTGCGGGTTGCGGTTCACACCCTTCGGCTTCGGAGCAAATCTCAGTGGGGCCTAGGCCTAGATCTAGTCACTAGTCAACAATCAAACTGGCGAGCTGAAGTGGCCTATCAAGCATCAATATCAAGCTCCTCCTTGTTGGGCCTAGAATCTAGCAAGGCTAGGCCAGTTCAGTTCTAGACTCTAGCTCTTCATTGTAGATTCTAAAGTTCAGTTTTAGCTTTGCCTATTGATGACTGATGACGTCGTCGGTATTCTTGGCCTCTAGCCCTAGGCTTAGGCCCAGATTTTGTTGGGAAGGCTAGGCCTAGGCCTATACGTTCTTATAGTCTCTGGCCGTCTAGGCTGTCATGGTAGTCATCAAGGCCTATTCCTGTCCCCGTCGTTTTATTCAAGAAAAATAGTGAAATTATGCAAACTGAGCTCAAAAATGTGAAATTATGCGATTCTGTTCATTTTAACAAAGAATGATAAAGGAAAATAATAGCTAGGCTATTCTATTTCGAATCCCGAATCCAAGGCCCAAGACAGCCTATTCAAGTCGTTGTAATAATACATGTAGATCTAGATCTAGATTCTAGATCCACAGAATTCTACCAGAGAGTTTACAGTAATACTAGAGAGACGGCACTTCGCCCGGATGCGCGTATCTGGGTCACCAGCTGATCGTGGAGAAATGCGCGG